TTAGTAGATAAAAATGAGAAAGTCTTTGATTATGTGGACTAAAATAGATATTGGTATGCAAAAACTTAATCAATGGTTCCTGCTGAATACCGTTGCTTATTTGACTCATGCATACCCAACTTGTGAGGAGAGAGAAGGGGATAAGCACTTTTGGAAACCTTCTACTGATGGATACTTTTCTATTAAACCTGCCTATTCTTTTCTTACTGTAGGTACTCAAAGGAATGTGGATAGCATTTGAAAAATGATTTGGAGACTACCAGTGGTGGAGAAAATTAAATATTTTATATGGCTATTTGTGCAAGGGAGAGTGCATACCTATGATTTGAGAAAAAGAAGAGGTTTATCAATGGAGAGCAATTGCCCTTTTGGATGCAAGACTATGGAGGACTCAATGCTTCTAATTAGAGATTGTCGAAATGCACTAAAAAGACAGAAGAATGTTGTTCAAAAGGATCATTGGAACACCTTTACTTCTCAAGTTGGGACAAATTAGATCAAATGGAACTTAAAGCATGAAGCAGGTAAGGGATTTATGAAAAATGTACAATATGTAATGTTATTTAATTATATTTGCTGGGATATCTGGGTGGATCGGTGTAAACGTGTCTTTAATGAGGATGTGCAACAGGAACAAGTCCCAATAAATTCTAGCTTTTTTAGAGCTTGCTCAGATTTAGATCTTATCAGGCTAGCCCCTTCTTTGTCCTTTGAGACCAAACACTCACAAGTAATGTTCTTGAATAGACATAATGACTATAAATTGAAAGTAGATAGTTCTGTTATCATGAATGGCAGTAGTGGCTGTGGAGGATATATTAGTAATGCTCATGATAATTGGATTAAGGGGTTTAGTGTGAAACTTATCAATGTACCAACTGCAGTTGCAGAGCTCCTTGCACTTATCAATAGGTTAAACCTTTGATGGGCTAAAGGCATATGTTTTGTGGACATTTTTTGTGACTATATTGAGGCTATTTTATTTATGACCAAAGGATGTGAGTTTTCTTACCCTTTTAAGGATATTGTTGATGATGCTCGTTTGTTATATCATAAGAATTTGAGTGTCTCTATCCACCATATTGATAGAAAATTCAATATCTATTTTGACCTTTTAGTGAAATAGGCTCATAGCTTAGAGGTTAATTTTTACATCTTTGATCATCCTCTGCCTCTTATACAAGTGGAGGTAGCTAATGAGAGAATCCTTTTAGATGTTTTTTTTAATGGAAAGGCAAGCTTGAGGCTTGGAGAAATTACAACAAACTAAGTAATGTTTGAGCTATCCTCACGCCACATTGCATGCAAATTAGGTGGTATTACATGAAAGAATTCAACTGTTGTATCAGTCTAATGGCTATGTTTTTCCAAATAATCAGCACATTGTAGCACTTCTCGGTAAGCATGGTGAATCTCCACCTCTCTATTACTGTAGATGAGATCTCGTATATCATTGATATCAGTCCTCCAAGAATGATCTACTACATAGTCTCGTAGTATCATGTTAATAGCATTCAATGAGTAAGAGTATAGAATGATTTTGCTAAATCCAAGTTGGAAGGCGACCTCAAGTCCAGTTTTGATAGCCATCATTTTTGCAAGTACGATCTCCCACTCCACGTGTAAATCCATAGATCCATTCACCTTTGTTGTTCCAAATCAAACCACCACATGAGGCATTCTTCCAAAGCGATATTGAAGTATCCACATCAACTCTTACGATATGTTCTGGTGGTGGCATCCAAGTATTCTCCATTACAATGAGATTGGGAAAAACAACATGTTTGAGATTTTCGAAAGCTACATGTTCATGAATGTGAAAGAGGCAGCTATGAACTAGCTTTTTGGCAGTGAGTCTTGCTCCTTCAAAAATGGCTTTACACCTGTTTTTCCACAGTAGCCAGCATCCCAGTCTAAATATTCTCGTCCAAGGCCATTTAGAGAAGGTATTGTTGGTCAGATTGTACTTGGAGTTCCAATTGAATCAAACCTACAAATTGCATTGCAAAAAACTAAAGTAATGATCAGTTGAAATCAAGTGTTTTCAGAAATCCTGGGCAATTTGGCAATCGTGAATAATGTGTATGACACTCTCCTCACTATGACACTCAAAGGGGTATTCACCAATGGGTGAAAGCTCAAGATTGGCTCTGAGTTAGTTAGTATTTAATCTCTCATGAAATGCTTGCTAAAGGAAGAATTTGATTTTCTCTGAGATCTGCCATTTCCAAATCTTTTTCTAAATGGATTCTCCCACAGGTTCATTGTTATGATATATAAACTTATAAGCGGATTTTACACTGAACCTGCCATCTGCAGAAGGTCTCCAACAATAAAAATCTTCATTAGTGGAACAAATCCTTTTAGATGTTACTTCTCTGATGTAATCACTTTTTAGTAATGTTTGCTCTTTTCAGTTGGAAAAAAAAAAAAAAAAACTTGATATGCCACATAACATGTTCGCTGGTGGCCAAGGAAAAAAACAAAACATGAAAAACATGTTCGCTGGAATAAACAAGCAGGCAAAACAAAATGGCAAACATTTTCATTCTCCCTATTTACCATTTTACCCTTTCATTGGTCCTCCACCCTATACCTACTTAATTTCGTTATGATAATTTTTTAAACATTTAAATAGACATTTCACATAAAAAAAATCAGGAAATGAGTTAATTTTTCTAAAGTTCTTTAATAAAATTGCTCATCTTTAAGATAAAAACAAATCTTATCAGAGAATTATTAATAAACTTATAAACTAATAGAACAAATTTAAAAAAATTACTTGTTATTGATTAAGTGTTTTTTTTCGTTATTCACTAATACAAAATATTTATTGTCTTAACTATTATAATCATTCAGCTTAAGGGATCAAAAAACTTGCAGGTTAATAAAATAAATTTGAAGAAATTAATTGTCACTGGTTAAGTGTTTTTTGTCATGTGGCGAAACAAAGTAAGCACTGCTAACCATTATACTCATCATTCGTAAAAACAAAGTAGTCATGAAGCTGAAAAACTATAATGTTTAAGTTAATGAATTATAAATGACTAATTGAATTAATAAAAATGACCTTTTTCTTTCAATGAATAACAAACTTCACTTAATTATCAATAACTAATTTCTCTAAATTCATTCTATCGGTCTACAAATTTATTAATATGTTTTTAAGAACTAGAGTTCTAGCCATAGCTCTAGCAATCAATGGTAGTGGGATTTTTTTTCTTTTAAAGATGGGAGAATGACATTTTAGTCCCAACAGACTAATTTAGTGTCATCAAAGTCCCAAGAAATTGAAAAATGTAGATAGAGTCCCACGTTACATTGATCGAAAATGAAAAGACGAAATCACCCCTCGCTGTATAGCAACAGTTGATGTAACGGTTGAAAAATCATTTCTCCACGTCTATCAATTACCCTCAAAACTCTATCTTCCTTTCTCCCTTTCCCAAACAAAATCCAAAATTCAAGCCTCTAATGTTTAAACAAAATTCTTAAAGAAATAAAAATAAATAAAATTTATGATTGAAATATTTATCAATTATAATGGTTATATTTTTTTAAAAAATATTTCACAGGTTATAACTTCTAAGTTTTAATATAATATAACAAATAAATTACTAATAAATTTGCACCGAAATTTTTATTCAAATTACTAATAATGTATTATATTAAAATTATTACGTTAAACTAATTTTACAATATTAAAAATTTAAAATTTTTTTATTTTAATATATTTTGATTTTTTAATTATATGTTTCATTTTTATATAGAAATAATAACTAATAGTACATGTTTTATATTAAAATTCGTAGGTTAAATTACATTTTTTAAATGACAAATTACTTGCAGCAGTAGTTGGATTTCGGTAAGATTTATTTTGATTTGTTATATTATATTAAAATGCATTCCTTTCTACCACAACATAAGTCATTACCAATTAATTTATATTTTAAAATTTTTTCTTAAAATATTAATTTTCTAAACATTCACATATATACATTTATATCCTTGAGTATAACAAATATAACTTTTGAATTATTCAAAACATTCTCATTAATTATTCAATAAAGTAAAGATGTACACCTTCCGTTAAAAATATAAATTATTTTTAATCAAATTTTATTTTTTAATAAAGTAATTATTAGTTCTCAAACTAATACCATATTTTTTATTTTTCCTTATTTAATAGGTTTTTTTGGGTGAAAATTTAATACCATGTTTCACTTTAAAATAAATATAGGTGATTTATTTATTAAGAGTATTTTTAAAAAAATGTAATAATTATACTTTGAAATATTAAAAATGTCTTATATTTTTTAACATTCAACTATTTAAAAAATATCTTATATTTTTTAATAGAGGAAGTAATTAAAAATATACACACACACACAAAATATCTACTAATTATGTTATATTTTGGACTAAATAAAACTTTTAAAAAATAATTTATATTGTGCTTCAATATAAATCTTATCTTGAAAAATATTTTTTAAGAAAATGTTAGTCACTATAGTTGATAAGAATTTCTGTTCATAAATTTTTTTATTTTTTATTTTTTAAGCATTTTCTTCAGAAATTAGAAGCTAGAGTTTTGGATTTTGTTTGGGGACGAGCGAGAAGGAGACAGAGTTTTGAGGACCATCGTTAAACTAGTTTTGAGGACCATGGATAAATGATTTTTCAAAGTCACATCACCTGCTGCTTCACAGAGATAGGGGGATGATTTCGTCTTTTCCTTGTTGATCAATGTACTTTGGGACTTTATCAACATTTTCCAATTTCTTGGGACTTTACTGGCATTAAATTAGTCTTTTGGGATTTGAAATGTCATTCTTCCTTTTAATATTTGGGATCCTCACATGTCATTCTCTCATGAAAATTTCGGACTTTAAATGTTTTTTTTTTATGTTTCACGTTTATTATTTTTTATTCCATTGGTTTTTGCCATCCTCTGCGCCTCTCTCTCTCTCTCTCTCTCTCTCTCTCTCTCTCTCTCTCTCTCTCTCTCTCTCTGAGCCACATTTTAACTCAACTGAACTGAGCACCACCCATTGCTGTATTGTTGTTGAGTTCCTCACTGCATGTCTAAGATGGCGGCCGCTTGTCCCAATGCATCGTTCTCTGCATTGTCCTCTCCTTTCTCTTCTTCTTCTTCCTCCTCCTCTCCTGAATCTCTCTTCCCCAAGCGCATCCACCTGTTAGCTCTCCCTCTCTCACATTTTCCCCACAAATCCATTCATCCCCATTACTTCCGGGTCTCTAGTTCCCTCTCTAATCCTAACCCCACCCCCAAACCACCTTCTGTTTCCATTTCCCCCCTCGCCGCCCCCACCCCCGCCAGCGCCTCTGAACTTTTTGTTCCGCGATTTGCTCCCGACGAACCTAGAAAAGGAGCCGACATACTCGTAGAAGCCCTTGAGAGGCAAGGTGTCACCAATGTCTTCGCCTATCCCGGCGGCGCGTCCATGGAGATCCATCAGGCCCTCACGCGCTCCAACATCATCCGTAACGTCCTTCCTCGTCATGAGCAGGGCGGCATCTTCGCCGCCGAGGGCTACGCTCGATCCTCTGGCCTTCCTGGTGTATGCATTGCGACCTCCGGTCCTGGCGCTACCAATCTCGTCAGCGGCCTCGCCGACGCGCTGCTCGACAGCGTGCCCCTCGTTGCCATCACCGGCCAGGTCCCGCGAAGAATGATCGGTACCGATGCGTTCCAGGAGACTCCGATTGTTGAGGTAACAAGATCTATCACAAAGCACAATTATCTCGTCATGGATGTAGAGGATATTCCTAGAATTGTAAGTGAGGCTTTTGTCTTAGCAACTTCCGGGCGACCCGGCCCCGTTCTAATTGATATTCCAAAGGATGTACAACAGCAGCTTGCCGTTCCGAATTGGGGCCATCCAATTAAGCTTACTGGTTACAGTTCCAGGTTACCCAAGCCTCCAGATGAGATCCATCTGCAACAAATTGTGAGGTTGATAATGGACTCGAAGAAACCAGTATTGTATGCTGGAGGTGGTTGTGTGAACTCAAGTGAGGATTTAAGGCGTTTTGTTGAGCTCACTGGAATTCCCGTTGCTAGTACTTTGATGGGTTTAGGGGCATATCCTGTTAGTGATGAATATTCCCTTCAGATGCTTGGGATGCATGGTACTGTTTATGCTAATTATGCTGTAGATCAAAGTGACTTGTTGCTTGCATTTGGAGTGAGGTTCGATGATCGTGTGACTGGAAAGCTCGAGGCGTTCGCTAGCCGAGCAAAAATTGTGCATATTGACATTGATTCAGCTGAAATAGGAAAGAATAAGCTGCCTCATGTATCAATTTGTGCAGATATAAAGGTGGCCTTGAAAAGGCTTAATCAGATGTTGGAAAGCAGGGAAGTTAGGGGTAAACTGGATTTTCAAACTTGGAGAGAAGAGTTGAGTGAGCAGAAGAGCAAATTCCCTTTGACTTACAAGACATTCGAAGAAGGTATATCTCCACAGTATGCTATTCAGATTCTTGATGAACTAACTAGTGGAGATGCCATCATAAGTACAGGAGTTGGACAGCACCAGATGTGGGCTGCTCAGTTCTACAAGTACAAGAGACCCCGTCAGTGGTTGACATCGGGAGGTCTCGGAGCCATGGGATTCGGGCTGCCTGCAGCCATAGGTGCTGCTGTGGCAAACCCAGATGCAGTTGTGGTTGACATTGACGGTGATGGTAGTTTTATTATGAATGTGCAAGAGCTTGCAACTATTAAAGTAGAGAATCTCCCTGTGAAGATATTGTTGCTGAATAATCAGCATTTAGGTATGGTTGTTCAATGGGAAGATCGGTTCTACAAATCGAACAGAGCTCATACATATCTGGGAGATCCATCTAGGGAGACTGAGATTTTCCCAAATATGTTGAAGTTTGCAGAAGCCTGTGGGGTTCCAGCAGCTCGTGTGACGAAGAAGGAAGAGCTCAGGGAAGCAATCCAGAAAATGTTGGACACTCCAGGACCTTACCTTCTTGATGTGATTGTGCCTCATCAAGAACATGTGTTGCCAATGATTCCCAGTAATGGAACCTTCAAGGATGTGATAACAGAAGGAGATGGCAGAACGAGTCAGTGATTCCCACGGCAATCTATAGCGTCTGATCATGGTTGTGTTGCAAGTATGTTATGCCACCATGGTTCTAAGTTGTTGCTTTTAATCTTTACTTAAAAGTAGAACTAGAATCCTGTAGCTGCTCTGTCTCTCTGTCCTAAATATTGTAATCCTTATCTTTCCCACCCTCTAGTACTAATATATTTTCTTGGCGAGCATGTTCTTGTTTGATTTGGAGACTGAGTTTTTATAGTATTTAATCGAGATAGCACTAAAGATCGAATAAACTTAAAACTGTTGTTAAAAGTTAAAACTTAAAACTGAGAGTAAATAAAATCAAGAGCACTTAAGCTCCACGTGTTGTTGAGGCATGTCAAATCGCTGATGGGGATGCGGACGTGCATTAGTTTCTTAAGCACTCAACTTAAATTTAAATTGAGAAATATTCTAATATCTATAAGGAGCAACCTAAGTCAAATCTACAGTGAAATTAGTTAAAAATTAACACCTTAGTAATTTAAATTTATCAAGAACAATAATAATTTGATTGGGTTTGATTGATTAAGAATTAAAGAAACAAAAATTAAATGAAATTTTTTTTTTGGTATGTTCAAGATTATGGACATATTTGAAAAATAATTTAAATGTGTGATTAAAATAAAAATTGATGATCTTTTTAGGCACATGAATTTTCTCTCATATCCTTGCTCTATTTAATTAATTTTCTATTAACCCCAATTGGTTTGAAATTCATCCTAATAACTGCTAGGAATTTAATACTTTTAGGTTCTTTAAATTAATTAAGACCCTAAATTAACCTTTAGAAAATATGCTTAAAAATGACCTATTGATTATGAAACTAATTTTCAATTCCAACGCTTGCCTTAAACAAAGGAGACCTCAAATTGATTAAGAAATGATTAACTAAACCCAAATCTACTTAATACACTACCGTGATTCACAAGCTCACAAAAGATTATAGAAATCAAATGCAACAAATGATTGAATAAAATAAAGATTTGGATAGCACTAAAATCACTACGACAATACCTCAATTGGCAAATAAACAACATAATAATCTCATATAATACTTGACCAAGTATCATAAAGTTCAATTTCAACAGCCATTATCATTATAATGTCATAAGCATCACAATTAAAGGAATTAAACAAGAGGTAAAAGATAAGAGAATCTCCCAAAATTCAATAGCTCAAAGAGAGTTCATCTATGCATCCTAAGAAGAGAAAACAAGTCTAACCATTCCTCATTAACATCCTCATAGCTTCTCTTTATTAACCAACCTTGAGATTTGGCTAAGATGAAAATAGAGTAGATGATAGATTTGTTCAGTAGGTTATTATGTTAATTGTTAGGGGAGTTAAATGGTGGGTTTGAATGATGAAATGGAGGGTTTTAAAGTGGAGAAGTGATGGAATGGAGGCTAGGGATCATGAGTGTTCTTGAGAGAAAATATAAAGATGAAAGGAGGTGAAAGATAAGTGAAAAATGTGAATGAGGAGGCTGTTAATGTGGAGCAGGCAATTTTCATGTTTTGGGGGTGTTTAAGGCTCATGTAGATCAATTTAATGACCATGAATCGTGCTAAGTGCCCTAAAGTGATATGAGCCTTGTGTGCATTTAAGGGTCCTTTCACATGCTTCATGAGTGGTCATGAATTTTGGGAATAAGTTATTTAAATGATAGTAAATAGAAATGAAAGGCATCTAATAATATGAAAATGGATGAGGAAATTCAAAGATAACATAATAGGGATGATGGAAAAATGCATAACAAAAAAAAGAAAAAAGGGAATTAATTTTAAAGGATGAAATTGTCATAACTATCCTTGTGCTTTCTTGAGATTTCATCAATCATTTGTGATCTTTTAATCATTAAAATAGCTTATCCAAAGGCTCTAATTTCATGCAAGGGGCTGCCATCATCATCCAAAAGCTTCCCATGAAATACATAATGACCTCAATAAATAGTAAGTTGTGCACATACAATTTTGTGTTTTATGAATTTATCCAACTTAGGTGTAAATTATGAAAATGTAGTGGAGTGAATTAAAGTGATAAAATGAAAGATTAGGAGATGAATTTAGTTATGAGAATTTCTGTAGAAATTCTTGATTACAAAAACTAAACCTAATGCACTTTTAAAGTTTATGAAAAGTACAATTAAAATACAAAAAGTTTGTACTTTAAATTTTAAAGGATGTTTTAGTAAATAATTCATAATTTAAATTGAATTAACTCAAATTAAACTCATGAGATTAATAAAGAACTAAAAATTAACAAATGATGAATTTTTTTTATTTTTCTAAATTAATTTTCAAAAATTACAATTTTGCCCTGAACTTTCAAAAATTTGCACCTTGCCCCAAAAGTTCTAAAAACTACAAAAATGACCTAGATGATTTAAAATGCTTCTTATATGCACAAAATATCTCTAAAAATGTCAAAAGCTAGGAAAAATAATATGAAAATGATATTAAAAAAATGATAGTTATCAGATGTCATGGTAAGGGCAACGTTAATATTAAAATATTCAATGTTTCAACAAATATATATTATTTTAGTCAAATAATGGATAATTTAATGGTAGGTGGGTTATTTGCATAGGTATAAAAGTTTGGAGAATTTATTATATTTTTAAGGGTTAATTGGTAAACATATCCAAAAAAAAATTTTGTGAGGTACGTGTGATATCCTTAAGTCAATAAAGAGATATGTTTTGGCGAATATGAGTATCTGTGAACTCTTTTTAATGGCGGAATTCTTCCCTGGATCGTTACATTTCACCAACATTCATTAACATTGATCTTTAAAAAAAAAAAAAACACAAAGCAAATATAAAGTGTAAAAATACTCCAAAAAAAAATTCTCTAAGAGCTTTTGATATTATTAAATCAATAATAGTGTATGAATACTTATTAACTTTATAAATAAGTCAACGTTTTTCAATTTGTTAAGTTTTATTATTAAAACTTAATAGTAAATGTGAAGTTATTTTATCATATTAGGGAAGGTTAAAGTTGATAATTTAGGCAAGTCCAATAAACCAACCCATATAAGCCTGAAAAATATCAAGGCTGGGCTTGAGGGTTTAAAAAATTTTCTTTACTTCAAACTTATTTGAGCAGCCAATAAGTCTAAAGAAATTCGGGCTAAGCCTAAGCCTTGAATGATTTTGCCCAAATAGCTTAATTCTTTTTTATAATTAATAAAATTAAATTCAAATCAGGTAATAATTGAAAATCTTAAATTTTTAAGATAAAAAGTAAAATTGACTAAAAAAGGAAAAATAAAATAGTCCTTAATAATTTAGGTATTAGGGGTAATCCAAATTACCAGCTATAAAAGGTGGGCCTCTTTTATAAATTTCATGGGCATCTATGCATCATTGGTAACTTAAGGATATTAGAAATTCTTAGAAAAAAGTTTTGGGTATTTTTACTCTTTATACTTGCTTCCTTTTTTTAATGGTGATTAATATTAATGGACATTAGTCAAATTTAATAATTTGGGAAAGTACCCTCATCAAAAAAAAAAATTATGGGTACTTCCACAACTTTGTTGAATTAAGGGTACTGGACATTCTTAGCTAAAACATTCTGTAAAATTATAAGTATAACATAGTTTGATTTACTCTCTTGGACTATAATATATGCTACTCTCTTTGTTTAAAAATGTAAGGTACTTTTTGAGGAATTGAATGTTAAAAAATATAAGGCATTTTTAGTCTTTCGAGGTATAATTATTGCTTTTTTAAAAAAAAGTGTTCCTCTTGATGAATAATTTTATATTTATTATAAGATATTTAATAAAGATGAATATGAAAAGAAAGGATTAGTTTGAAAGTAAATAACTATTTTATTGTGGATGAAATTCAGTAAAAAATACCTTACATTTTTTAACAGAAAGAATATTGACTATTTATAAAAAAAATGTTAGTTGAAACTTTATTTTTTAAAAATGTCGATGTTTTTCTATTTATATCCTTTCAAGAGTTCCTAGTAACACTTATATGGTCTTTGAATATGACACATTAAAAAAATGAATTAAAAAGGCAAGGGTATACATGAAAAAAAATACATAAAAATTTTTTAATGCTTTATATTTTAAATGAAAGGATGCTTCTAGAAAGTAACTTAGTTCTTGCTTAGGATTCCATTTAATTGGCTTAAACTATAATTTGTAAGCTTAAAAGCTAGTTAGAGATTAAAAAAAAAAAGTTTGGATAAAAATAGCTGATAAGTGAGCTTTTTTGTTTCTGTTAGGTCAATAATTGGATTTTAAAGCTTTTACGTTAGTTACATCGAAAACTCATCGTTAGCAGCATTTTAGTATATTTTAAAATTATCAAATAACTTATTTATCTTTCTACATTTCCTTTTGACACTTGATGTTTTTATTGTTTATAAATTTAATATTTTTATTACTTGTAATATATATATATATATATTCATTCTTAAATAGATTTAATTAAGTTTTTTAGTATTTAGAAACATTTTCTACATTAACATTAACTCTTTTGTTTTTATAATTATAATTATAATTTTAATATTTTTTGTTAAATTTATCAAATTGCATAATATATATGTATGAGAGAGACATACAACTCATGTTGTTTTTAGTTTTTTAGGGAGAATGACCGACAGATTCCATTGAAATAGGAAAATAATAATTTAATTTTGTAAAATGTAATAATTACATTGACATCCCAATGAACTTGTTTAAAATTAAATTTTTCTGTAAAATAACTTTAGTACCTTTATGCACTTTTGAAAGTTGTAATTTTTTAAATTGTTTTAACAATTAGTGAAACTAAATTTACGAATACTTATACCAAACTTATAAATGATATAAAATTAATTGAACTTTATTGATTGAGAAAAACTGCTGATAGAAAGTTATAATTTTTTAAATTATTTTAATTATTGATAGAACTAAAGTTGTAAATACTTATATCAAACTTGTAACTGATATAAAATTAGTTGGACTTTATTGATTGAGAAAAATTACTGATAAAAAGTTATAATTTTTTAAATCATTTTAATTATTGGTGAAACTAAATTTATGAATACTTATATCAAGCTTATAAACTATATAAAATTAGTTGCAAGAAGGTACTAAAACAATTTTACACAAAAATTTAATTTTAAAAAAATTCTTTGAGACTTGAGTGTGATTACTACATTTCGTGAGACCAAAT